GGAAATACTTTGTCCACGTTGGGTCAAGAATCTGTATATCATGTTTTGCTCTATTGTGACTTCGATGTTAAACTGCTCTCTTCTGCACAACTTTCATGGATATCCCAATGAGAGGCTTGTTTTATACCTTCTGCCAGACCAGCACCCTTGTATTACTTGTTTAGTAGCAAGGTATCTCCTAATTGCTACGAGGATTTAGGAGCATAAAATAAAAACCGCTGATGGGGAACTTCTCCCTTTGTAATCCTAAAATCATACTTGTTTTCTTTTGTTTGTTATGTTTACAATTTATACCAATAAAGGTACTGAACTGAACAGAAGCAAACAGCTGGCTAGTGAAGATCTTTCAACTATGGAATGCTATAATATTTGTTGCCCACTCCAGCAAGCAAACATAATGCTGCATTCTAAACTAACTGAAATTTTCAGGCAGTCCTTAAGAGCTACATAAAATGCACTACAGTAACCAGACCAGAAAATGAAGACCTTGGATCACTGTGAACAGATCACTTTTCAAGCAAGGGTCACAACTGGTAACCAGCTGCTAAATCAGCTGAAGCTGGCTAAATATACCACATTAGAAATCTGAACATCCATTTTTCAAGATTTAATAGTATCCCAAAGAGTGAAACTGCCCCTTCAAGACAAATAAAATCCCATCCAGACTAGGTTATCTCCTAATTACATGATCAGCAGTAACATCCACCAACAATATTTCAGTCTTACTTAAATAAGGTTCAATTTATTGGACCTCACCTGCCCTTTATTGCATCCTGGTAATAGTTCTATTGCTCTGCCAGAGTCAGATGTAAAGGAGAGACAAATCTCTCTGTTATTTGCATATTAGTGACACTGTATTTGATAACTCTAGAATACCTCCCCCAGCAGTCTGACATATCTACTAAAGAACATGGAAGAACCTTGGTATAACTGTCATACAGATTAATGAAACTCTTCCAGTCTCACACTCTAGAAGCACAAAGCCAGGTAAGAATAGAGCCACCAGGTAGGAATAGAACCACCAGAATACAGTGCCCCCATTCCCCATCCCAGTCAAGTGGACAAGAAAGCCTTAAAGCTGCTGAAAGTTCCAGCAGAACTAACAGCATTACACTCCTCTCTGTCCTATTCCTAGTAAAAGTAATCTATCAAGGCAACCAAGGTGGTTTCTCTTCCAAAACCAGGTCTGTAACCCAACAGAAACAGGTCTAGATAATCATCCAAAAATTGCTTCAAGTTGGCTGGCCACCACAAGCTGGATTGCCTTATCTAAAAAGGGGATAATAGCAAACAGCTAAAACAATCTAAATCCTCAGTCTAAACATGGTGTTTTCAACAGTAGACGACGCATCATCTTCTTAAGATACCACTTCCTCTTTCAAGGAAACACTGCCTATTTCCAAATTCAAGTTCAATGCTTCGGAAAAACATTTTCCCCCTTACTTCCTCACAGCATTGTGGTGCATTCATGCCCCTCTGGGGTTCTGCAGCTTTTCTTCTTTCTTTTCTTGTTTTCTTTCCTTCTTCCTCTAACCTGCTTTGCTCCAAAGTTTTGGGAAAGATCACAGTAAAACCTGAATGGTTGCTGTGCGAGTGGGAAAATTCAATTTCCCAGCTTGTATGGTAGCTATTTTCCCTGAACCTGTCCTTGCAGTAGCCATTTCCTCTCCCATCCTCCATTGTTTCCAGTGGTGGGAAAAAGCAAGGCAGGCATACAACAAACCCAGCAGATTCTCCCAGAGAATCTCTGCAGTAGAAAGTGAGTGTGGAGAGGTGTCATGTTTGCAAGGCCAGCAGCACAACCAGTGCAATGTGCCCGGCAGAACCAGTGCCATAACCCAACAGGACTAAGGTCAAATCTAAGAATCTCCATTGTTTCGAGTGGTGGGGGGGAAAGGAAGGCAGGCATACAACAAGCCAAGCAGATTCTCTCACAGAGTCTCTGCAATAGAAAGTGAGGTGTGGGCAGGGGGCATGTTTGCAAGGCCAGCGGCAGAACCAGTGCAATGTACCCAGAAGAACCAGTGCCACTCTGGTAGTGCTAAAACCCTACAGATTTGACCTTAGTCAAACAATGGGGGATGGGGGCACCTTTTTTGGGTGCCCATATAATTGGATCCCCTGGTCCAATCTATTTGAAACTTGGGGGTTCTTTTGGGGAGAGGTTCTAGCAGCTACACTGCAAATTTGGTGCCTCTATCTCAAACCCCCTCCTCCCAGCCCACTGAATATAGTCTAGGAGATTTGCCATTGACTATAATAGCCTCATAGGGTATAAAGAAACAGGAAAAAATTGGGATTCCTGAATTTTACCTGAATTCCAATTCAATACTGATATTGGAATTCAGGTTTTCAAGGCAATACTGAATTTAAAGGGCCCAAAATCACTGAATCCAAAAAATACTGTTTTTTTCCCTTGCACACCCCTAGTCAAGAACAGCAAGGGTCAAACAAGGATATAGTAGGCAGTAAATCTCTAAGCAGCATGGTGACATTTTGGGCTGTAATAACTGAACGATGTCTAACAAAACTTGATCAATCTGTACTCTAAAAGTCTCCTGAGACTGAATTGTCATATATAGAGTCCAGGTTTGCACAGACGTGAGCAATTTCATCCATGAAATGCTTTCTAAAATCGTCACATTCCGTAACTGCCATTCAGTTGTGACATTCAACTACAAAATAATTTCATGTTGCCCATCATTAGCCCACAAAGAGTATAAAACTACCATCGAAAACAAACAAGAATGAGCACACACCAGCCTCCTTTTTATAGCCTGGATTTTCAGATTATAGAAGACGGGTTTCTTTATGCATTTACTTCCCACTAGGCCATTCTTGCATCATGTAAACGAGAGAGGAATGATTAAAGAAGGGAATGGTTGTAGTTTATTTCAGAGGTATTCCAAGCTTGCCTGCATGCGTGTATATGTAGGTAGGAATGCAAAATATTGAACAGACCAAACTCAGCAGAAGTTCTGCAAAACCCGTGAAAGAATGGAAGTTTATTTTTAAAAATGAATGTGCTTTCATATCATCAAATAATCCTCTGAAATGAGAACAACTATTTTGCACTGAGAGCAGCATGAGCTGGCAAATATCTACTCTAAAGATGTAGGGCTTCCTCCTCCAGTCACATCCATGTTAGTCACTTATGAAAAGCCTAGTTTAGTAGGGTTGCCAGCCTCCAGGTGGGGCCAGGGGATCTCCTGCTTTTACAACCGATCTCCCACTGACAGAGATCAGCTCCCCTGGAGAAAATGGCTGCATTGAAGGGTGGACTCTATGGCATTGTACCATGCTGAGCCCTCCCCAAACCTCGCACTCTCCCGCTCCACCCCCAAAGTCTCCAGGTATTTTCCAACCCAGACCTGGCAACCCTATGGTTTAGTGATACAGCTCTAACTGACAGGCAGGCTTCAAGTAAAAACAAGGATTGGTTTTCCAAAGAACACTATCCCAAGAGTTACCCTCATTGACTTGACTACAGTAGGATTCTGAGTAAACATCTAACTATCTAGACAACTTGAAAACAGATTTAAATGAACAGAAATTAATTTACAAATAGTTTTTACTCATGTAGTTTAACATGACATTGTTTCTTACAGGGCATGGCCTAGACGCAGAAACAATTATTTGCTGCAAGAATTCTCCTGAAAGCACAGAATAGCTTTGCTCAAAAGGGCATGCTTATTGAGAAGCATTTCTGTAGAAAATGTAAATTTAGAAACATAAAATAACAAAATGTCTGCAGAAGTATGACTTATTATGCACTTAACAGGCTGACTTCTATTCAGTGAGCAATAGTGGGAGTTATTTGCCTATATTTTCACAACAGGAAAAAATCTTTTTTCTAAGTATTTTTTAATATAAAAACACTTCTTTGGATCTCACAATAATGCAACACATTTTCTATACTGAACAATGTCCTGTGAATGTCTAGTTTATGCAACTGAGTAATACACTAACCTGGCAAGAACCTAATCAATATAATAGTAATAAAAGAAAGACTCAATAAAGCATCGTGAAATTAATTCTGTAATGACCAATAGTACCTTTCAGGGGTGAAAAGACCATTTTCACTGAGCAGAGGCTTACAGTGATCAAGGATTCCACGCCTTGTACTAACAGGACCTGTATCATCTGCATAATCAGGTATCTTGTAACTGAGTGTCCCAGGAAATCAAGCATAGATCCAGGATGAGCAGGCTGTTCAGGAGTCAAGTTACTGCAGCTGGAGCCAACACTAAGCATAGCAAAGGCTGAAGGTGAAATGAGGCCTTAAATACACTTTCAGGGAGGTGGAGATACAGCCCCCTCATCCTCAGGTTGCTAGTAGTTAAAGATGCCATGCCTAACTACAGCAGTGTGTACTACAATCAGACTGATGTAGTTCAGGACTTTTGAGAGGCCTGAGGGGTCAATAGATAAGAAACAGCTGGTTCAGTAGCAGGCTCTAGGATGCAGGTCCAAGTCTGAACCAGAAGGAAGGGCTGTATCCCAGAGTGAGCAGGCTGACTCAGAGTCTAGGGGCTCTACTTGCACATCATCAAAGGAAGCTCCTGGAGGTGTTTTAACTGCCTCCTTCTGCAGCACTGTTACCTGTCCTCCTCTGAGTCTTTGGATTCTTGGCCCCATGAGAAGGAGTCCATACTCTGGTCTATGACAGTGTCCACACTAGGCAGGAAGCAACCACATGCAAGCGTAATACTGATCCAGATGCCCTCTTTACCTGTGTAATGCCTTCAAGTAAGGTGTGCACCATTGAGAGGTGTCTCGGTCTAGGTGGCATTTTCCTATAAACCACACTTTGCAATAATATATGTGGGTACTTTCCCTTCTTTCTGACTTTTTGGATTGTCAAAATTCTGCTTCCTGGGAAAGCAGATCTTCCCCTTCACAGACAGACTGTAGCATTCAATGCAGGTACTGCTAAAGACAAAATATTAGTTTTAGCCTGTTTCCAATTAGTAAAGACTAAGAAAATAAACAAGTGATACCTGATAGAAGTTTGGCCAGAAGGTGCTAATTGCCAGTTCCACCTTGATCCAGGTTCCTGTAGGAGCTCCAGATGTATTCCATACTGGGCTGCCAAGGGGACCATTATTAACTTTCACATAAACATTTAATACACCAGGACTGGACCCAGTCTTGCTGGAAACGTAAAAATTGAAATCGATGCAATGAGTGTCATTTTCTTTAAGTTTTGGTAGGAGAAGATGAGCTCTTTGTCCAAACCTTCCAGAGGTATTCACCAGCATAAAAGATCCTGTAGGAAACAAACAAAAATAGTTTCAGTCAGTGGTTTAACTATCTCTTGTCTCCCAACAAATCTTTCTTTTTTGGGGGGGAAACCTTTAAAAGTTAGAGGATCTCCACAATCTTATACACATTTCTCTGCTGAATGTAGACTACAAAATGTTTGCCACAATAAGGGCAGAAAGATTAAGAAAATGCATACTAAATTTAATACACTCCAATTAAATTTGTTTTGTACCAAAGAGATACGTGAAAGATAATATACGATTCATAATAGATGCAATCAAATTGTGAATAAGAAGAGAAAGAAAGTAATTTTTCTATTTCTAGATGTAGAGAAAGCGTTTGAAAATTTAACATTGCCTTTCTTACTGAATGTTCTACAAAATATGGACTGCAGTCCCGCATTCCGGAACTGGATGCATGGAATATACTTGAACCAACAAGCAAAGTTTTTAATTAACGAAAAACTAACAGAAGCAATTTCAATTGAAAAAGAAATAGGTCAGGGATGTCCTTTATCGCCTTTGTTTTAATAGAGATTTTTGCTATAAAGATCAGCTAAAATGACAGAATTAAGGGAATGAAAGTGGATGATGTAGAGTTCAAATTAAGCTATACAGACAATGTGGTTCTAACACTCTTAAATCCCCATAAATCATTGCAACATGTAATCGAACATATCAAGGAATTTGGATCCTTATCAAGCTATAAAATTAACAGAAAAAAGAAAAAAATGGTAACAAAATTTTAACACAAGAAGAAATTATAAAGAGCACAGAATGCTCAGCAGCCACTAATCCTATTAAATACTTGGGAATGAACGTGACTGGGCAAAACTGTAATCTTTTAAAAAATAACTACCAGAAAACTTGGAAATTGATACAAGCAGATTTATCAAGATGGAAAAATACAAATTTTTGCGGTTAGGAAGAATCTCTGCAATCAAAATGAATGTGCTGCCAAAACTAAACTTTCTATTCAAAATGTTACCCATATACATAGAAGAAAGAATACTGAAAGAGTGCCAAAGACAGATAAACCAATTTATATGAAATGGCAAAAAAACAAGAATAAGCATCAAAATATTACAAGATGACAGAAAGACAGGAGGATTAGCAGACCCAATATAAAATTATATTACCCAGTGACAGATCTTATCTGGATTGTGGACTGGATTAAAACCCCAAGAAAAATAATAGTAAAATTAGAATCAGCAGACCTTGATGATGGCTTACACAATGACTTATGGATTAAGAAATCGGCTAAAAAGATCATAACAGAAGAAAGAAGTCACATAATTGGACTTTTGCAAATATGGTTTACACATAGGAATTTACTGAGTCTCTCAAACTCTCTAATGCCCCCAATAGAAGTTTACCATGATAAGAACATGAACATTAAAAATGATTTGTTAACATATGCCATGATGATAAATAGGGGGAAATCAAGTCTTGGCAAGATATCAAAGATGAAGGCGTAAATATTCAAAGGATGCTACATTATCAAAGCTAAAAAAGATCATGAGCATTGAAGGTGGAGTGCTGGACCTTTAGTGGAGTGTGCGATTAACTGACATCCAAAACCAGGATTCTTAGTGCATCAAAATCAGAGAGCTGGGGGATTAGGGGTTAATGCCTCACTGTAAAGCACAGTTTGACAGGCTGCTGCCTGCATGCGCCCCCTTCTCTTTGATTGGTCAGTGCCAGCTGAGGAGTCAGTCTTGTCAGAGGGAGCCAGTCATTGTTTGGACTTTGACTTGGCAATAGCCAGTCAGGAAGAGTGTGTGTGTCAGTCTGAGAGAAACAGACACGTCACTTGAGAAGTGAAGGGACACAACTCCTTGCCCTTACTGCGTACCAACATATTTGAGGAAAAGTTCAGAAAACATAACTTTAAGTCTAAGTGTCAGCTCTTACTGAATTATGTTTATTCACAGTCTGCAGAACTGGGGTTTAGGTTTGACAGAAGAGAGTGGATAGTAAGTTGAGAACTGCCAGTCTAGCCAAACAGGAAAGGATTATTGATCCTAGAAAGAGAAGGATATTTCTTACCCAGTTATTCAGAGGGTTCAAATCAGAAGGGACCCTGGTTTGTGTGAAAAGGGAAATGGTCTTAGACTCCTCAAGAGTAAAAAGGGAAAGTTATAATCCCACAAGGGAAGTATTTAAATACAGGAAGAAAGCACTAACTACAAGGCAACTAAGATAGTGTTATGAAACTTTATTAAAGCATATTGTTGCTGAAAGAAATCTCCAAAACAAACAAACCTCTCACAGTTAAGAACTGAGTCTCTAAGTATATAAGCTTCGACTATATTCTGTTGCCTGTTCAAAATATTATAATTTGTATAAACAACCAAATTTACCTCAACTTCTCTTCCCCTGCCCTATTCCTAACTCAACTGTGCCTGTTCAATAAAAATCAACCTTTCTGTTTCAACTTTACTTTGTGTCAGGTGCCATTTCCAAAGAGATTTATAAGAGGGCTCCTGCTGAGTTACAATAAATCTCTGGCCAGGGCAAAAGCCAAATAACTTCTCTATCACAGGGTAGGACACGTAGAAAGTTATAATTCTATAATTCAAATATGCTACTAAGAGGCTGCTCAGTAAGAGTGGGGAACTGTATTTTGGTGGTGAAATCTTCCTCACAGAGAAGAAGTAGGGGTCCGTCATAGAGTGCAATTCCCTAAGATGTTACAGCAACACTGCCTCCAAGTAGCACAAAGAGAGTCCAGTGGCGCCTTTAAGACCAACAAAGTTTTTTTTCAAGGTATGAGCTTTTGTGTATTCATCAAGGTATTCATACCTTGAATAACACTTTGTTGGTCTTAAAGGTGCCATTGGACTGTAACTTTCTCCTGTTGCTTCAGACCAACACAGCTACCCACCTGGATCCAAGTGTCACAGTTAAACTCTTGCAACAGCCAACACTAAATAAATTCTTTAAAAGACTGTTTGATTCTGATGACTAAAATGAAAACATGCACCTGTTCCATTCTAATGACCTTCTTGACAATTTACTCATATTTAAATGGGGGGATCTTATTTTCTTTTAAATAACAAGCATCTTTTTAAAACCATTTGCAGTAACTACAATCCAGTGTTGAAAAAAATTAGAATGTGAATAACTAGAAGCCATCAGCTTTCAAAGGCTTGAATTAATGAGTAAATAGTATGTGACCTGGAACTCATGGACAATAGTCAAGAGGACCAAGACAAGATATGCACTGTCAACTCATCTTGAAAAAGACCTTTGAGACTTACTCATTTAAAGAGAAAAGACAAGCATCAAGGAACTTCAGAGTAAACATAAGAAATCCTTTGGGCTCCATTTAAGAAAGTGATGTGATATGCTTTTATAAGAAAAGTGAATCTTTAATGAGAACTAAATTAAGTTACAGTATGTCATTTAGATGAACTGTTCTAGCTACTGAGTTAGAAATATACAGAAAGTTCTTGCTATTCCATGAGACAAACAGTTACTAGGAATATACAAACATGTTAATTTTTAGTTACTTGGAGTTCATTGTATAGTTGGAAAAATAACTGTCTTCCTGCTTAATTTCTTTGGCAAAGTTACCAATTCTGCTGCTTATTCTTATTGTTCAAGCCTCTGAGTTAATTTATCTTGTTCTTACAAGACCACATCCTTCCCTGCCCCATACAAACCCATACTATCAGGGAATTAATGCTTGCTTTAATAAGACCCCATTCCGCTTAAAGTGGTAATGTGTTTGAAGAGTGGTGCAAGTAAAACCAAAGGTGGAAAAATAAATCCACCGAAACTAAATGTAATCTGTAACTGTTTGGTGAACCTAACAGCCAGATCTGAGAAAAAATAACTCTTCTGATATCATGGGAAAACTACACTGTGACTAAAATTCATCCTGGTCCTTAACCTGGAATAAAATATTTTATTTTTGTAAAATAATAATTGTAAAATAAAAATCTCAAAATCTCTATGCACAGGGAAACCTGGTTATTTTAAATAAAAGACTCTACAAGTCAGCATAAATAAGAAAACAAAGAGCTACCGAGGAGCCTAACATTCCTTGTACAACTTTTCAGCTCAAAACAGAGAAGTTGGGAGACATGAAAGTGGTGATGTGAGTTCCCACTCTAGCCAAGTGCCCTACCTGACCTGCAAGGGGCATGCCTAGATACCAGGTGGATTGTGGAGAAGTGCTTAACCTGACCTTGATGGGACCTCCCATGGGGAGAGAGGCAACCATGACTGGCAAGTGTTTCAGAGGTAGAACAGCCAAAATGCACTTGGCCCAATGAGGCAGCAATACAGAGACACTCAAGTGGTCTATGGTGGTGATGACATGACCACCCCTGGGATTCTCCTGATTAGAGGGGCCATCAATGGCTTGGGGAGGAACAGACTTTAATGCGGGCAGGGGCTAGGTTTGGGGAAGGGAGTGCGAAAAGGCAGTGTGGGAAGTGCAAGCTGGTGGGGCAGAGATGGGACAGCCATAAAGCAGGCAAAGTAGTTGCCTAGGGGCTGCTCTGAGCAGGAAACACTCATGGAGCTAAGGACATAAACACAGGAGAAAGCTGAAAAGGGCAGTCAGAGAAGCTCAGGGTGGCAAGGTGATAATGTTTGCAGGGAGGTAACTGTGCCCATGAATGTTGTACCTCATGGCTCAATAAACAGATTGTAGGTGAGATAACCAGTTCCTATGACCTTCTTGCTAGATGGAGGGCCAGTATGATGTGCCCTTGTCCCCCCGGGAAATGGATAACTCGCAAAACCATTTGCTGCTACCTGTTTCTGTGGTTCTTGTAGCAGTGGCAGTTGTGCTGCTGGTGTGCCATGGTGGGGTTCCCCCCCCCCTTTTACCAACAAGGTGCCAAAGAGGGCAGGAAGTATTGCTTCCTACTATCACTTGAATCTAGATTCAGACATCTTTATGTAGCCAAGCCTCACTGTATACCTGATGCTGCCAGAAAGGCACTTCAAAGCCTTTGTTTCTTATATTAACATTTTATAGTTAAAATAA